AACATGGAAATACAATTTTTGGATTACCACATGTTAAATGTTATGTTAAATATATTAATAAAACGATAACAGAACATGTTTTTAAATTTTTAATAATGTTAAGGTTGACGAAAAGGTCTCCAGGAGGAGATGGAGGCTTGGGTTCGACCGGCTGGTGGATGTTGGGTTTCAATCGCCTCGACGATTCTAAAATCGAAGTGGTTACAGAATCTTCTCAAGGCAATGCGAAAAGGTTAGTTTTGTAGTGAAAATGTTTCTATACTTATCGATTTATTACTTAACTGTAGTTTTATATTTGTAGTAAATTAGGTGTACAGAAATATTAACAGTGACTGCACTAATGTATGATCAGATCATTGAATTGTGCTCAAAATAGTTGTACCCCCTATTGACTTGTAAAATTAAGTTCATTTACATCTTGAAAGTACATACTTAAAATAATACTTTTCCAAGTTTTTGATCAAATCTTTTTATTATTCTAACTAAATTCTACCTCATATAATAATTCTAAAACATAGAAATACAATTTTTGGATTACCACAAGTTAAATGCTATGTTAAATATATTAATAAAACGATAACAGAACATGGTTTTAAATTTTTTATAATGTGAAGGTTGAGGAGAAGTGCTCCAGAAGGAGATGGAGTCCAGGGTTCGATCGAGAGATTTGTAAAAGATTCTAATCCTCGCAACGATGTTGACGCCGCCATGGCTACAAAAACTCCTCAAGGCGTAATGAACATGTAAGTCTCGTAGTGAATACGTTTCTCTACTAATCGTTTTATTATTTAATTGTAGTTATATTTTTTTAGTAAAGCCGATGTATAGAAATATTAGCAGTAACTGCCCTAATGTTATGAGTAGGTTATTTAATATTGTGCTCAATATTATAGTGGTGCTATTGCTAGTCATTTTTATAAGAAGTTGTGGAACTCAAATCTCTATATACCCATTATCATACCCTCTCCCAAATTTGAGAAACTTTGTACCTATCTATGGATGTTTAAAAACTTTTACTCATTATATTTCGAGCACTTTGACAATAATAATTTATTGATTTTTCCAAACAAGTCGATGTCCCTTCTTGCCTATTAAGGTGTTAGAAATTTATATTAAAATGGACCCCTTGAATTTGTGTTAATAATAATTAGGTAACTATCTAGTAAAAATATTTATGAAAAATACATTTAAAATGCCAAACAAAATATAATGTTATGTAATAATAAACTGTTTTCTTTTATCTTCAGTAGAGTACAAACCTAGTACAAATGTTGACTAAGCATTAATATCTTGAAATATGTTTGAAGTGTTAGGACAGACCTTTATAAAGATAAATTAAATTACAAGATAGGTTAGGACCCAGTGGTCTGCAACTTTTGTATTAACCATATGTGCCATGTTTTTTAAAAAAATTTTCGATAGCTACATAAATAAAAAAAAAAATTACCTATGATATAATACTAATTATTGCATTACTTCTATATATTTAGTTGTTTTACATGGAAATATATGTATAAAAAATACAAATATTACAGAAAAAAATTGTTTTTAAGAAAAATGTAAAATTACAAATTAATGAGAATTCTGTGTCTGCAACTTATCAGTGAATTATTCTATATTAGCTTAGTAGAGACTCGGAATCCACTTACAAACGTTCATCATTTATGTGTGAATTGTGGTTTTTTCTCTTTTTCATAATCGAAAACGTCTGCTCACATATAATGTAATTGCAAACGCCTCTATATTTTTTTGTGAAAATTGTCGGTTTCTTGGTAATGTAGATACTGGAAGACAACTTTAAAAATGCAGCAAAATAGTTGCTTCCTGAAAATAATTTTTTAGAAACTCGTTTTTTTAATGTTAAATGAATTACATTTGAAAATTGTTCTTGACTTAATTTATTTCAACTAGAAATGAATTCTAGACTAATTTTGTTTTTTTGTCATGCTTATAAAAATCATCAAATCTTGTTGAATGTTCCTCTTGCAATATTGTTCAATGATATTAAAAAATGTAGGTTTAATTAAATCCCAAGGCAACAAAATATGGTATTACAAAATATTCAATAGTAGATTTACAATACGGAAAATGATAACCATTTGTTGATCCAAATTATTGTACAATATTATGTGTATATTCTATGAACAGCATAATTTTCATAGCTCGTTTTGAGATATTTAAAGACATTTTCAATATTCAATTTTAAATTCTGAGCGGAGCGATGAATGTATTAATTTTACAATGATGTGTGTTTTTAAATGTATTTATTTATTATTTTTTTTGTGTCTGTCGTCATGGTTTCTCGCAGTAAAAGTGCTTCGATTATCTTCAACGGCAACTTTTCTGGTAGGACTCAAAAACAGTTTTCGAAAAAATCAATTTTGGTTTTTAGTTAACTCCAAAATGACTCTAGGTACATGATATTTTCTTTGAATATTTTTGTTATCGTTTTAAATACACCGTAAACTTTTCAAAATATTTTGACTTGTATTGAACTATTTTTAGGCATATAACATTTTTGTCTTTCTATTATTTGTTTTTTTTAAGCTTATGTCGATTAAAAAATTTTCACTCAGTCAAAAAGCTTGTAAATATAATACGAGATTCCTCGTTAGTTTTTGTAAGTGGAAATTAAAAAAAAATTGTGTGAGAATCCATAGAAATTTTCTATGAGCATTTAAACTTAGAATTTTGACAAAATTCGTAAAAATCACGAAAATTAGCAAATTATATTTAGTTAGAAATTCATAAAAAATTTTCTTTTTATATCTAAGATTTAAAAGTTTAATACAAGATACCTAATAAGTCTGTTTACCTTTATCAAAAAAAAATTTTTAGAAGAAAGTCAAATTAAATTTTTATGAGCGTTTGAAGTTGATATTTTTACTACATTGGATATTCACTCGATTTCTCTTATAGCGATTTTCTTATTTTGTTGTAATTCAAAAACGAATTACTGTAGACATTTGAAATTTACACCATATTTATTTCACTACTTCATATATTTTATAAAATGTTCAAAACATTTTGATTCGCTTTAAACTGTTGACGCACATTTTCAATTTTCATTTTTTTTTCTATTTATGTCAATATAATTGTTTGGTGGGGTAAAAAAGCATGAAAATGAAATCCAAGACTCTTGATAACTTGTTACAATAGCAATTGAAAACTATTAAAAATATAGAGGCACGATTTTGTTTTATAAGCATTTATAGTTCAAATGTTGACAATATATTTATCAAGTTGAAAATTTAAAATGATTTCGTAGTTAAAAATGTATCAAATGTTCAATTATGATAGCTAAAGAGTGAAAATTTAAAATAAGTTTCCCCTTAAGCATTTTTTTCCGTAACTAAGAAATCTAAAAAATATATGAATACAATTATTTTTACAGACATTTTAAGTTCAAATTTAGACAAAATTGCATATTAACACAAAGAATAACGTTTATCATTTTGTTGTAATTCGGTTCCAAAACAGTCCAATTTTACATAGGTATAAATAATATTTTTAAAGCATCACTGATAATTTAAGAATAATATTAATTCAAATTTTAGGCTACCATATTAATAATAATTAATAAGTAATAACAATATAAAATAATAAAATATCCTAAACTGACATACCGTCTCCGCTCAGAATTGTTTTTCGTTGATTTGATTTCATTGAATTCAAATGTAATACCATCCATTACAGCGACCTTCTAGACACCCGAGTACAGCAGAGAGACATTCCTCTTTTTTAAAGTATTTTGTATTTTTTAGTTTGGTCAAAATGATGAACATGCAAATTGACAAACATTTTAAAAAAGAACATTTTTCATGCCCATAAATAGTTCAAAATGAGAAAAATATTTTGAAATAATATGAAAAAAAAAATGTGTCATTGTAAAATCAATACATTCACACTCCTGTCAGAATCAAAAATATTATAACATACATTATTGCCGTTTTTATATTTAAATAGTTCAATTATCGTTATAACTTAGAGGCTAAAGTATAAAGTTGCTTGGCTTCTTCTGTCATGTCGTTCACAACTTCAGTAGCATGTTGTGTGACACCTAGTCATAATATTATATGTTTAAGAGAATATTATGACAATTGACAAGCAAATGACTCTCATTACCAGGGCTGTGAATTTAATGCACTTAAAAACTATTAAATATGCATGCATATATGCACTAAAATCTGACAAAATATGCTCTAAAAATTCTTAAAATATGCAAAAAAAAACTATAAAAATTAAACTTTTATTTTTATTTTTTTCATTAGTATAATTTTTTTATTAATTTTATTAATTATCTTCTGGTATATATCTAAATCTACGTCATTTTTTTCACAATTTAATATTTTTGAAATATTACACATAATTTGAAACCCTTTGTTTTTGTTGAGTACTGTTTGTAAAAATAGAATAATTTCGATAAAACTGAATATTACGAAAAAAAGCATTTAAACAACAAAATTATTAAAACATGCATTTATATGCCCTAACCCATGAAATATGCCAAAAATATGCAAAGTAAAATTTGGTATTTGAACTACAAATAAGTCAAAACAAATTTTTGGCCGAATCCATTTTTTTATAAAGTGTAGCAAAAAAAACATGAAAATGCATTAAATTCATAGCCCTGCTCATTACCAATAAAATATTATTATTTATTTAAATAAAAATCATTTCTGTTTAAATGAAAGTCGAACCTTTTTGTTTGGCAAAAATGTTGAGTACAACATTTCAGCAGATGACAATCTAGTATTTAGAATACATTTTATTAATAAATAACCTATAAATAGTATTGAAGATAATTTTTTTTAAATTTAAAAATAATAATTACCTATTTCATAACAAAATATACTATACTTCTATGGGGCTTATACATTATATTACGGTTATTATAACTAATGAGGAATTGCATATTGCCATATTATATATAATGAAACATGTTTTACCTCGTTAAGAGGACGTTGTACCCACTGTGTTGTCTGTGTCTTACACGCGTATGACATAACAAATTTTCGTTCACCTGTTTCAATAGTCTGCTGTCAGTTTTGATATTAGAGTAAATTGATCTATTATCAAACTTTTAGGCAAGAACATTATCAACATTATCTTGTTAAGACGGAAACAACACATGCGATTTCTCTTAAGTTAAAAAAAAGTGTTTCATCATAAAAATTAGTTAAAAGTAACTTAACATTTTAACTCGTTAATGCCAAGCCTTCTTTAAAATAACTCATGAGTAATGACAAATGAGTGATAGAGATGGCGGCTAAATATGTAGAAGTCAAAGTAATTAGTATCGTAAGTCAAGGGGATATTGTTGAATAATAAGGACTGTACATAATAATAACGTAATAACTCAATAATATTATATTTATTTTTTATATTAGGTATTTTATATTTATTATTTATTTTCAGAAAAAAAATGTTAAATACGTTGGCTTTTCCATAATATTTATCTTAAATGTATTTTTTTTTTCATTTGTTCAAAAAGAAATAGAAATTCAAACGAGTTCAGCACCAGTAAAGGCTCACCAACGACCGAAGTTATTGCTTCGGATCAGAGGAAACGGAATTCCAAAAGGGTGTACAAAAGATGCTTCTTTGATATGTCTGAAATTGATTGCTTTCCTTAAAATGAATTGAGCTACTATATTAATCAAATTTTATAAAATAAATATTTCTGGATGTAAGAAAATTGATCATTCTTAATCAAAATAATTTAAATAAAAATTCTTTTTTTTTTAAGTAGCCTATTGTTTTTTTTTTCCAATTAATTTAGTCAACTAAATCATTTCCTGAATAAAGCAACGTACAATTATTTAAGTCTACATCTATTCAAGTTGTCATTAAGTAGTATGTTCAAGCTTATGTTTACCCAAATACATTTGAACCTTTCATATCAGGAACAGTCACAGGTGTTTTGCCTACAAGTTAATAGACAAAAGTAAGTTTGTCGATGGTGGAATACCTACTCATTTCATTGGAGATAAATGAATAATCGTCAATTAAGAACTAACTCAACATAGTGTTTACATTCTTACAACGGACATAAACGACTTTAAGACTTAAGTTCACATCATTTAAATCTGAATTTACTACCTAAGCGGAAAATTAAAGTTCACGATTCTCACATTAGTTTTCCACATTTGGTCTACTGTTTAAAGCCTTCAATTTTTAACTAAATTTAATCGATCCAATTGAGTACATTCGAAAGTATATTTTCTAAATCTCGTTTAGCGGACGTGGTTAAAATATTATAGTTATTCACATTGGATATATTTTTATAGTATTAATTGACTAGTATTCTGTTTTGAGCTGAACCTATTTCCTAAAGTCTTAACTATTTCCATACATTAAGTTTTTAGAATTTATCGAGGTTCTAGCATTTTCACTGTGAAGCCTAACGATGGTGAATAATATTCTAAATATTGAACAAAAATGAAACCTTTACTTAGCATATGGCATATTCCCTATGTCATATATTCAGTGTTAAATAGAAATCTTGCCTTGAATTTCATATAATCCAACATTCTCAAAATTTTCAAAAACATTAAGAAAATCTTAATCGCCAATATGCTCTCTCCAGTTCTATGATCCATCAAATGTATTCTTTATGTCAACATTTTCTATATTTTTCAAAACATCGAGACAATCTTGGTCACTGATATGGCCACCCTAGTTCGTAGATCCCTTGTATGTCATTGCATCTACAATCCGTGATGGTTGAGACTGCCTTGGAGAGCCGGTCGGTATGTCTGGTACAAATATTTGAGTTGCAATTTTGAGTTTAATCCGTTGTGAAGTGACGATCAAAATAATAAAATAAATAATTAATGAACAATAAATTTAAATATAGTATTATAATATTGTTGCTTTGAGCGTTGTTTGCTGGGCTGGGTAGTACCTACGTCTGGTACCTACATTTGCTGTACGATATCAATTTGATTCCACTGTAACACCACGGTAGTGTATAAGACTTTTTAAATAAATAAAATGAATAAAATAAATATTAAACATGAGTTTAACCTAACGTAGAAAGTCATGATATTTGCCATGACAGGCTAAACGGTGTTATGTCGTAAAATATGTGGACGTACACTGTGTTCTGTGAAACAAATTAAAAATGTTTAATGCAAAAAAGTTAAAATCAAATAATAAAATTATATATTAAAAAAAAATTAAACTCTGAGAATGAAATCATGGAGTAAACAAGAAGTGGAGTGTATAAGTCAATGGTACTATAATATATGTATAGTGTTCGATATATTAAAGGTAAGAACAAATTCAGGAACAGGAATTCTTACAAATTTAATATTTTATTTGCTGATCGAAATAGAAAACGCACTAATGTTGAGTAGCAGTGGGTCACATAACATTTCGGCCGCCTTATAAACTATATATTATTCTTAATAAAGAAATGACTATAATTTCTAAAATAATAGTTTCCGAAAATATCGTTCTAAGCATTAAAAAAAAAAATTTAATTATAAATTACATTATTCATTTAATATTTAACTATTTAAGTAATTAGTACTAATGTAGGTAGTATAAAAAGTATTGTGTATGTAATCACTTAACAGTTATTATATCATTAGCCATTAGGTAGGTTATGGACTGTGTTTGTCAATTATTTTGAGAGTAAAATAACTTTTGTGATCCAAATTTTGAATAACATTAGATGGTGTAATTGAATCAACAAAACTTATACATGGAAAATATAATTTTAAAACACAAAAATGCATAATATTATATTAACATGTATTAATTATTTTTTTACTTCTAAATTTTAATCGTTATATGTACTAATACTTTATGCAGTGGTCAAAGTGGCTCAAAATAAGTAGAGGGATGTCTTTCAAAATGTATGTAGTTCTTATGTATTGCTTAAACAGTTAAACAGTCGTACAAAATAAATGGAGGGATGGGAAATATGAATTATAAAACATGTGTGTGCTTAAGACCATACAACAGAAGTGAAAACTTCAACAAATTGAAATTAATAATACGAAACACGAGTTTTTGCGTTCTTTATTGATAAATTAATAACTTGTACAATGTACTTAATTATAATTGTGTATATAAACACACACACACACACACACACACACACACACACACACACACACACACACACACATCGTAACATCCTAAGCAACACAACCTAACCTAACCAATTCTGCCTGATTGAGCGAGTATGGCAGTGACGCTTCGACTATATTTTCTCTCGCCCTGCTGACTGTTCCTCACATGCTTAGTCGACTGGAGCCGACTTCACCTAAATGAGCGTTACAAAGCCGAGCGTGAAGGCTTAGTTCAATTCAGTACCCACAAAAAGTGCTAAACGCGCCTAAAGAAGTTTTCAATTCAAAAAGGGGAGGGATCCCACTTTGACCATTGGTTTTTATGCTATGTACTTTCCTAGTGATAGCGGGTAACTTTCAAATTTACATCACGTTTAACAATATTTATTCAAATACGCATTTGTTTGATGAAATTTTCAAATCAAATATATAGGTGTATCACAAATAAACACATTACTACGCATTAATGTAATTTTATTTTAAGTTTAATAATTTCATCAATGGTATTTTTTTAATAAATATTATAACCTAATTATTCAATAACCTACTATTCCGTTATTTTATGTTAATACGAAAATCAAAACGGTATAAAACGTACAAAAATTAGTTTAATTATTAATTTTATTATAAATTTTATATTAATTAAGAGGATGTTACATTGGCATTTGTTGATTCCGTCTTACAAGTTCCTAACATAGCAAATTTACTCTCAGCAGATCACGTTTAACGTCGTTAGTTTAAAAATTAGAATGAATTGAATAGTCTTGATATCTAAAATGTTAGTTTTTCTTATTTTGATAGCAAACACGATTGTCGATTTGTATAATGCTCAGCATGCATGCTGTAAAATTGTGGAAACCCATAAATAATATAAATGTATACAAACAAATAATATTTATATATTATTATAATAATAATTATAATTTTAAGTTACTTATGCAGGGTCGCATGAAAAATGTATTAATTTAATAATGGACCAATCATGGGCCACTAAATCATGTTTAAAGAACCATTAGCTCACTAGATTTGTTGCAGTTATTGCTAATTCAATTCATTATTAGTATACTACAGCAAAGTCAATTTTCCACTTATCTTTATATGATCATAATAAAGATTTATTGCGATAGTATCAGATCTCCCTAGAGCAAAAATGTTGAGCTGACACATTACAATCTTGGGTGTGGCAGTTCATATTATTATAGTTATAGTCATTTTATGAATCTAGTTTTTAATTCAGTCGAAATACGAGACCCATTGCTACTGTAGGTTAGTGCGTTTATAAAAATTATTATTATTAGTGGTATTAAAATGTGTTTATTAATTTAACTTAAAGGTGTTTGGATTTCTTAATTAATCGTTTTAACTACACAAAACCATTTAGATGGTTTGAGTGACAAAAATATCCAGTCTTGCAACTATTGGATAAGCTGATTTTGTAAAAAGTAATGTAGGTATTAATACTGTTGTCGTTTATGGTTGATAAGTTTTGACATAAAATCAAAATATATTATTTTTAGGAATTATATAGCTAACTACATTAAAAATTAAATTAATAAATTGAAAATGTACTGTTGTTAAATTAAATGTTAGATATGAATGATTAGGTAGAGTTAGTTATAAGCAGGGATCGGAACTTAATGCGTTAAAAAATAATTAAATATGTGTATACAATATAATATGCACTCATAAAAAATCTTGAATAAACAATACTCGTATTTTACAGTACAATATGAAGTTATTTTTAAAATTCACATATGGGTATTTATGTATTTTAATAAACCTACAAAATTAATAAATATTTTTTAATTAGATAATAAGTACCTATAAATTTTAATTTTTCAGTTTTGGTTTGTAGATTTTGTTAGATGATCTTGTTTGTAGAAAAATTCTTCGATTATTCACAGTCCTAAGTATAAAAGTATAAATCAATCAATTAATAGAGCAAATGTTAATATGTTTATTTTACTCATGTTAATATGCATTAAATCTTCTTTCCGAATTGATTGTCATTCTTCAATATTTGCATATTTGTAAAACGATATTTTAGAATCAATACTTAAACATTTCCACCAAATTCAGCCACGAACGTATGTAAATGACTACTTAAAGATGTTTTCTCTTTAGGCATATTAACAACGACATGACGTCTTTATTTACTAACACAATATGCATTTATAAGTTTCAAATACCTATTTAAATAAGCAAAATCGTGTAAAGTTAGTTGAATATGCAAAAATATTCAACATAAATTGTTGTATGTAGATTGTATGTACAATGAAACTAATTTTTATTAAATCAGATTTTTAATATGCAGCTATTCCTAAGAAATATGCAAATGCATTAAGTTTTCCGGCCTGGTCATAAGTATTTGTTACACAGATGTGTTGTATTTCTTAATTCATATTTTGTAATGATGTATAGGTATAATATATTCCGCCAGAATGTAAACACTAGGTAATAGGTAAACCTGCATAGATTCATACTATTTCATGCTAATTAATTAGGTAGTACAAATATCATTGAAATTTAAGGGGCTGTTAAAATAAAGTATTGTGACAGCCAGAGTTGGGTGAATTGTAATACAACGTACTCTCATCATAAAACCTTATTTTAGGTGTACGTGCAATAGTGATTCTTAACCAATGGGCT